AGAGACCTAGAGGGGGTTGCGGGAGCCATATTATTAGTAGGGTATAACTAGGTACGTACCTATAATTATCCTTAAGACACGATTATTAAAGTGTAATAGGGGTCGCTTGGCTTTAGGCTAAGCTAGCCTTAAATAGGGTTCTAGTGGGAAATAAGGGCTTTAGGAAGTGGTATAGTCACGTTAGGTTAATATATTAATTAACTATAGTAAGGTTATGTTACTAAAACGTTATGAATAATCTTTCTGTAAGGAAACTAGATGTAATAACTATATTATAGATTAATAATAATAGATTACTATAGGAATCCGTCATCTCTATATACTACTATCGGACCTGGCTCTATAGGCTCTATCTTATAGAGCCCATAGAGCCGGCTCTATAGGCTCTATACTATAGAGCCCATAGAGCCGTTACGTAACCTCCTTACGTGCCCTAATGTTTACGTGTCCATGTTATAGTAAGCATCGTCGCCATAAGCAATATTACCCTAGTTAAAACCCTAGTCATCGTCATCGCTGTCATTATAATTATCCTATAGGTCATTCTGTTGCGGCGTAGCCGTAACATCTAGTAAGTATAAGTATAGTATAGACTAGGTTAATAGATAGTTCTAGAGATGTTATAATTTAGATTAGAGGGTCTAAATATTAAGACGCTAATTCTAGTTATTAGTACGTAACGCGTTAAGGTTAGATTAGAGGGACTAAATCTTAGAGTGCTAGTTCTAGAGCTCCTACTATAGCTGCTATATAAGTAGTAGGATAGCTACTAGGCTAGTGTTCTAATTAGACATTGCTAGAATGGGAGAAAAAATATAGGTAGAGTAACGAAGACCTCTAGCTAGGGGTCTATAGTAGCTATCTAGCTACTATTACTATATATAGGTTAACCTATCCTAATATTATAAGAGGCTACGAGTTGCGGAATTAAAACTTAAATAAAGCTTAATTTATATGCTACTACGTATATACTTAGGTATAATATAAAAGGATAGGTAAGAAGTAAGCTATACGTTAAGTAGGTAGAAGATAAGGGGGAAGAGGAGGCATATACGCTAGTACTTAGTAATGGCGCAGCTAAGGTGTCGTAGATACTAGAGATACCGTAACACTTTACGCTAGGATAGATAGTAAATGGATAACTTAATAGTATTAAGTAAATAATATATTACGCGAATGGGCGCATTATATATACGGACATGGTAGTAGCCTTCGGTCTGGCACTAAGTATAATAAGGCTATAACTAGCGCCTCATCTCTTATTCTAGTAATTATTAACACATCTATATCTACTTTATTATGCACCACATCTAAAAAATACTCCTCTAGTAGCCGGAGGCGTAGCTATAACTATTTCTAAAAAAATGCTATGAACTTTAATTGATGCTATTCCTTATAGGCATGGTTGTTGAGGACCAAGTTTAGGTTAGTATTAGTAGCCGTTACGTGCTCCCGCTTCGTCGCGTTACTGCGGTAATGCTGACTATACACGCCGTAAGGCCTGCGTGAAAACATCGGATTATAGAGAGCCAGACGTTAGTATAATAATCCTTCCCGGCGTAGCTTTCTCCGGTAACAAGGATGGTGAGCTTCTGTTTCATTGGAGCCGGAGGGAGCGGACAGGTGTAAACCAGCACATTGCAAGGGTCCAACCTGCGTTTGAGACGGGCCAAGCGCGGCAAGTTTAGTCCGAAAGGTTTGACAGCTAGCGCGGCATCTCTACCGTAGGGTCGGCTCCAAGGTCGGCGCTATAAGCTCCGCAACTCAAAGGCAACAAGTGATTGACGACATCATAAAACCACTGCACAGCAGCTAGAGCGGGTTGGGTAAAATCTTGGTCGCGATACCAGACACCGGTCACCACGCAGGCAAAATCCCAATCGCGACAGCCGAAAGCCGTGGCATCAGCCGCAACATCGCCGACCGCTCCGCCGCCATGCAGCAGACGGACATAGCAGAGCGGTGTAGGACAGGCCTCCATAGCCGCCACCAAAAGACTGGAGACTTCGCCGATATTGTTCAGGAAAACGCATTGCTTGAATGCAGAGGTCTTACCGCCGCCATGCCCGCCGTGCAATTTCGACACATAGAGCTCGGTCTCGAACAAACCCACGCCGTCCACAATTTGATCATTGTCTGAAGGTCCCCAAAGTGAACATCTCGCTCGCTCTCATCTACCTCGCCTCTATGAACTAATCCTCCATGTTAACAGCAACACTGCCATAGCGAGCTCATCCTGGAAGAGAAAACAAACCGCGTACAATATGAAGATACATAAGCACGACTGTTCTCAAACTCATCTAGGTCGATGGCCGTCGCCGCACGCCCTTCCAATCTGAATCCAGGAATGGAGGCATAGCTTTATAAGGGCCATGTTCTGCTATTTTGATTTCCCTCGCATTGCTTACACTCTTTGTAAATGTCAGTCAGAAGAGTCTTGCTTTTGCTGGTTTGATCGAGTATGTACCTCTTCATTTTCTTCTTCCTCCTGTTCTTCTTCCTCTCCTACTTCCTTGCCTACTTGTTTCCCCTCATCCTTTTCTTCCTCTCCTTCTCCATTATAATGCAAAGAAGATGCGGACAGCTCTATGTCGTGAAAATTTCGGTTCGGACCCGAGGACTCGGATACGAATTGTCTAGTTTCATCTGATCTCTTCCATTCTCCAAGGGTTTCCGTAATTTGCGTACCGTCGTCTCGAATGATAGGCCCGAATATCGGTGGTGACCTGCTTCGTACTGTTGATATTGCCGAGGGTGATGGGTCTCTGAGCGATGATATTTCCCGAGGGACATACATATGCTCCGTCTTCTCGGAAACACTTGGTGAGTTGCCGGCATTTGGACTGAGTGCTCGCGCGGTTGGTGTTCGGGCTCTACTACATGGCGTTGGAGGACTGGGTATATTTTTCGGGGAGATGCTTGTGTGGCCCGGTGCAGGAGGTATTACGGGAGGACCTTGAGGTTCTTGTGCTGTAGATTCTGAACTTGGTGATGGGCTTATGTCATCAAAATACCGTGATGTTGAGGTCGAGGATGACTGGCGCAGAATTCTGTGACTCTCTTTTCGAAGTGTTTTAGTCGTCGATCGTTCTATGGAACGTGTCTCTTGAATTATTGGACGGATGTCTTGAACGAGCGGTGCTTGATTAGAGTGGAGATTTGCCTTGAAATACTCGAAGAGAAGTTGGTGAGCATCCCTCGTAGCCCTCCTCTGTTCTTTGAGCTGACGCTCCGTTTTACGCCTTAATTACCGAGTCAGCAGGGTCCGCCTTACCTATCTGGGTATATTACAGTGCATCTACCAGGTCTTGGGGTACCTCTTGTGACTTTCTGCTCAATTTATCTATCTTTCTGTGCAGGAATTCGACGGTATGAAGCGAGAGGAAAAGCGTAATGGAAGATTTCGCGCTTTCGAGAGACATCTTCAACCCAGCTACTGATGTTCTCCCAAGGTACCATCGAACTCGATCCAGATAGCCGTGGAAGCTCGGAAGCTCGATTACATCTTCAAAGAATCTGCTCAGTAGCTGCTTAAATCCTTGCTTTACTACTTCGCATTCCTGGAAGACCCCTGCAATATATTTTTCTCGCTGTTTTCTCTCTCGTGGCTTGGTCAGGTATTTTAACCCTTTCTCCGAGGTTTCACCGAACATCCGCAAACTTGCCGAGAAGTTGGATAGGTCGCGCCGAAACTGGTGAACTTGTTGCGGTGCGTATCGCACAGTGCGAATGAAATGTCGTAGTTCAGAGGCCAACTTCAAAAAAGCATCGGCCATTTGAATACCACCAGCGACTCCGCCAACGATAGCTAGTACCTCTGCCATGGCGTCGTGGAAGCGAAGGCAAGATTCGAAATGAGGCGGCCGTGTGGAGGATACAAGGCATCACATATATTACAGGTAAAGCTGAGTGCTTTTCAGCTATCTACCTATTAACACTTTCTAGACGAATCATTATTGCAGGCATTTTGGGTGCGGTTGCAGCCTTTCTAGACCGGTGAAGCAGAAATGGCGTTCCCAGGCGGGGTTCGCATGCGCAATATATGTAACGTGCATCCCTGCGTAGCGAGATGCACGGTGTGGCGAGACAAACGAGGGGTACTGGCAGGAGCGGGCCGGCCGTCCTCCTTGCTAGAGGAGATTATCAATTTGACGAGGTCTGAGGTGGCGAATCTTCAGTGCCTCCCAATTCTAGCGGCAGCATCTCACCGTCACTAGAGCAGCTCGAAGCTTCGCTGCAACAATTTAGCAGGCTACGGTTTTACCTCGGCCCTCAGCATTTTATAACGTGGAGAACATAAACATGTATAGGATAGCAAGGTGCGTTAACTTTAGTAGAAATCTTGTTTGCGCTTTATAGGTTTTGTTCAGCCTTACTCCACCACATTCGGCTGCACTGCCAGCCCCACATGACCAAGGACAGCCTACTGCAGCTGCCTAATCACTTCTCGCACCATCGCTCTCCCACAACTGGACTCCTCCACGCAACAAAGGTCGTCCTTTTCCGAACGAACGGACTCCCGTGTGCCAGAACTTGTTCACGACGTAATGCGACTCCTAAGGCTCAGTGGTGATAACGAGCTCAGCTTCACCAAAGACATACATGACGACAACAAAATTCCTCCCTACGCTATACTTTCGCATACTTAGTAGAAGGATCAAGAGGTAACATTTAACGAATTTTAAAATGACAAAAGTAAGAGCAAGGTGGGCTATGCCAAGATCCAGTTCTGCGCACAACAGGCCAATCGCGATGGTTTAGAATACTTCTAGGTGGATACCTACTACATCAATAAGGCAGATACTATTGAAGTCCAATGTGCGATTAACTCAATATTTCGCTGGTACTAAAAGGCAGCGCAATGCTATGTGTATCTCACAGATGTCTCTATAAGGAAGCGAGATGTAGATAGTGAGACCTTTAAGTATACTTGGGAGCCGGCTTTTTAGCGAAGCCGATGGTTTACCCGAGGCTGGACCCTAGAAGAGCTCCTAGCTCCTTATACTGTCACGTTCTTTTCGAAAGAGTGGCATTGGTTGGGTGACAAGAAGACTCTAGAACGACGCATCCACGAGACTATAGGAATCCCTATCTGGGCCCTTCAAGGGGCTCCTCTAGACAAGTTCAGCAAAGAGGATCGATTATCGTGGTCTGAAGGCCACCACACAACGCGCAAAGAAGATAGAGCATACTCATTGCTAGGTATATTATCAGTGAGGTGCGGAGGAGGAACGAGAGACTGAGTTGATTGTAACAAGCTAACCAGAGGATCCCTTAAGTATGAGGATCGTAGTCAGCAGCTAGTCTAAATCAGGTTGGTTGTATCATGTGACAGTATTGGTGATGCCACCTACACTAACAGAATGAGATTTGGAAGAGCTGAAGTGGGCGGGTACGCGGGACAAAGGGAGAGCTGATAAAAGGTATGAAGTTGAGTGTAAGTGTATTGTATTGCTCAGGCGGGAAAACCTGCCTATATAGAGTTAGGCTAGTCGGTTGCACCTGCCAGGTGCCTGCGGAGTCTCCTTCCGTCAATAGTCCTCCCACCTGGAGGTGCCTACAGTGACTAGCATAGATGAGCTATAAGCATAGCATACCAATACTCGCCCATTGTGACAGGTTATCATGGTCCTTAGTCCTTCTCGTGCATGTAGAAATATTCTCAGTATGACCGCTGATCGGCGGGTTGCCGTAGAAAAGTCCTTTCAGGGTGATCGAGCAAACCGCGCGGTTTAGACAGTGTCTAGGCGGAGTGATCAAACAGGTGATTAAGTAAGTGAGTCACTCGCTGTGATCAATCACCATTGGCGATTCGGGACTTCAGATCCGTGAGTAGAGGTAAGGGCAAAGCCTTAGTGCAAAGGTCGGCAAGATTATCTTTGGAGGCAACATGTTTGATCACGAACTCGTTGTTGTGATATCATTCCCATATAAAATGGTAGTGGACGGCGATATGCTTTGAATGAGCGCTGATCTTAGAGTCTTGGATGAGTGATATGGCGGCTTGATTGTTGACTAGGAGCTTGAATTGCCAGTGATTAACGTTGTTAAGTAATTTAATTAGGGCCTATCGTGCCCAAGCAAGATGAGCGGCGGCGTAGGACGCAGCCATATACTTAGCCTCTATGGTCGACTTTGCCACACAGCTTTAACGTTTTGATGACTAAGCAACGGTGGAGCCGTTGAGCTTCATAAGATAGCTAGAGAATGATTTCGCGTTATTAGGATCTAAGCCAAATGAGGTGTTTGTGTACATGGCGACTTCAGATCGCGTATCCTGATTGATTATAATCCTAAAGTCAACACTGCCTTATAAGTAATGTAACACCTGGGCAGCGAGTGTTACGTGTTAATTAGATGGGTTTGCATTGTATGACCCAAGCATGCTAACCGTGTATAATAAGTCTAGGCGAGAGACTATGGCGAGGAAATTGATTGATCTAATAATTGATTGATGACGGCGTTAACGTTCCTCATTGATAGGCTCGTTGGAGCGAGGCGGAAAGTGGTTTAGGTTAAGTGGTATCTTATAAGTGTTATACTTGTCTATATTATAGCGACGTAGGATAGCATTAATGTAGGTTTGCTAATAAAGGTAGATTTGACGGCGTCTATTACCGTTAACATCGTCGTTATAATTGAACTCTAGCCTAAGTAATAGCTTAGGACGGCCGAGGTCCTTCATGCGGAATCGCTAACTAGTAGTGGTTATAAAGGTAGTGACTACCTTAGGTTCCCTAGCCATAAGGACGTCGTTGACGTAGATACTAATAATAAGGTCCTTATTAATGAATACGCATGGATCGAACAACGCTATAATAAAGCCTAGTTGTTAAAGCCATTTATGGAGTACGTTATACCATTTACGGCCTAATTACTTAAGTCCGTAAAGGGCTTTTTGAAGTCTTAGCACTTGGACGCTAGGGTTACTAATGCCTAGTGGGCAACGAGCGTATATAATATATTTAAGTATGCTGTTTAGGTATGCTACGTTAAAGTCTATTTACTAAAGTATCTAGTTTATGTAGAGTGATAGCCAAATAATGAGTCGTAGGCTATCGTAGTGTATGACTAGGGAGTAGGTATTGTTATAGTTGACGCCAGGTCACTATAAAAAGCCTTAGGCGATAAGGTGTGCCTTATATTTGATAATATTACCTTGTTCATTCTTTTTTACGTCAAAAACCCATTATGTGCCAATAAGCCTTATGCTTAGAGGTAGATCTTCTATATTTATAATATTATACGTTCCGTTCGTCTTATGAGCGTAGATCTCATGGGCAATGGGTGGGCACTATAGCAGAGCGTTTATATCGCTTATGGCTTTAGTGTATATATAAGGGATGTCTTCACTAGTAGTAGTAGCGGCGTATGTAAGGATCTTATTAGGTAGGATTACTATTAGTAATTCTATGGCGTTAGCAAAATGCGCGTTTTGTGATTTACGGGCTTTAAGTAATGGTATAACTATTTGGCCAGAGCGCGTTGTTGTTAAGGTGTTAGAGGTAGGCATTAAATATAAAGATCCTAGTACTAATAAATATGGAGATCCTAGCGCGGTAGAGCCACTACGTATGGTTCCTTATTGTTGTGAGCCGCCTCGCGATGGGCCAGATGGCAAAGACCTAGTTATGGGTAGTGGTATGTTTAATGCTGTCCTTTATACTAGTGAAGGTGGTATCTTAAAAGGTGTTTGTGGGTCCTCTATATTCACTAGACTAGGCTTGGGGTGGCATATATTGAGTCGCTTGGTTAAGACTATAGGTTGGACTGCATGGTTTAGAAGGTCGCTATCATTATCTATAGTAGGCGAAAAGTGTAAAGGAGCCTTCTAGTGGGAGAAGGATTAAAACTAAATATTATACGATTTAATAATTACGTGCCGCTTAGGTACGTAAACGTAGGCGACCTTAGTGTTATAGCCATAGCTAATGAAGACGCCCTATTCTATGCGATAGAGTAGCTTAGAGTTAGGAGTGTGAGCCTCCTTTAGTATGTAAAGATACGCCTTAATACCGAATGGGCGTATGTGTTTAATCGCTGGCTTATAATTAAATAGGCGTTTATAAGGCGTCTGGTGTAACTTATCTAACGCGTAGGGTGTAATATTGGTAATAAACGTCGCCAACGTGATTGCTTTAGGCTAGAGGAATAGCATGGTGTCACTATTAATTATAGAGTAAGCCATTTGCGTTATAGTTTAATTAAATCACTTAGTAACGCCATTAAGCTCATAAGTGTAGGGCGGTATGGTATGGTGTTTAATGCCCTTACATAAAAAGTACTTTTAGAGTTCACTAGCCAAGTACTTACTACTATTATCTAATTTAAAACGGCGTATTGTGGCGTCAAACTACCTAGTAGCGAATTCAACAAAGTTAATAATAGCTTAGGCGGCGTCTGCTTTCTTCTTAAGGAACTTAACCTAGGTGAAGCGGGTACAATTATTGATAAAGGAGATATAGTACTATAAGCCACTTAGGCTCTTACGTAAAAATTTACCTAAGAGGTCTAAGTGTATAACCTCTAATGGTTTTATTAGTTGTAGACGCGTTGCTACGTTATGTATGGGATGGTGATGCTTTAACTTAGATAATATATAGGTTTCACACTTGAAGCCATTAGGCATTGCTAGGATGAGGTGACTGTTACAGTAGTGGCGTTCTGGATTATTAATTAGATGGTGTCTAATGGCGTAATAGAACTCCTTAAAGGAGCTAAAGTGGGCGACCTCTATTATTAAGATTAAGGTCGTTGATAAATCGCGCCTCTCAGCTGGGTGTATTGGGGTTTAATAGTTTGGCAGACTAGTAAGGCCTATAGGAATTGCTAGTGTCGATTTCGAGTGACTTAATAGTAGTGGTAAGTCCTTAGTCTGGATCTATATGGTACCGTTGACGTGATACGCCCATAAAGTAGTTTTACCTTATTATGTGAGGTACACGTCATTCTTTAAGCTGGTGAGCTTATATTAATTTTAGACGTATGCCTATAAGAATAGGCGTGTATGGTGAAGTTTACTAGAGTAGAGGGTGTTGGTTAGTTTGGTGATGTTTGTTGAGCCGTTAGGTAGTTGGTAGCGTAGTCTAACCGTCCCTACGCCTTTAATGGGTAACTTAATGCCGCCGGCTATTATGATTGTCCCACGCCCTAGTGAGAGCGTAGTGAAGTCATTAATAAAACTAGACATATGGCGTGAAGCGCCTATATTAAATAGCCAAGAAGTGGTTAGATTGGTCTCTACACCTACACTTAGCTAATAGAGTGTAGAGGCGTATGTACTTACTAGTTTATGGGTGTGTTTCCTATTGGTGTTGATTCGTGGTGGGGAAGCCGTTGGCGTTAATGGTAGAGTGGTGAGGTTAATGACGTTGGTAGCGAATCTATTAACTTCCGTGGTGGAGTTGTTGTCGTCGTTATTATCGTCGTCGTCGTCTACCTTATTATTAACGACTTCGGCGGAGTTACCTTTCTATCACTTATCACGTTTACCAGTAGCGTCCTTGCCTTTGGATGGCGTCTTCTTCTACTACTCCTTGTGTTTACGAAGCTCGTTGCAGTTAGTGTAGACGTGGCTGATGAATGTTAGGTTGTATTTTCGGCACCAAGTACATTTATTAGTGGTAGGAAAGGGCCTCTGGCTAGACTGCGCGTTTTGTTGTTGCGCAGCTGTCTGGCGGGCAGCGTAGGCACTCAATAAATTAGTGGTGTCTAGTGAGTGTTTTTCGCTGATATCCAGGATCTTGGGCTCTATGTCCTGGAAGGCAGTGAGCTGGCGGGTGGCCAGGTTGTCGATGACGTTGTCCATGGTGTCGGGCAACGTCGCCAGGAAGAAAGAGCCTTTGACGTTATCGTCGTTGAACATGGCCCTCATGGCGATAGCCACGGGCTGTGTTAACGACGCTGAACGCTTGGATATCCGCGTCCATCACTAGTGAAACTCGTCAAGGTGGAGGCGCAGGTCGTCGCCATCGCGATACCATAGGTTGGTGAGGCTGCGGAACAATATAATGGACGATTGGCCAGTGTCGCGATCAAAGCGGCTGGTCAGGTAGTCCCAGGCGGCGGGCGATATCTCACAGTCAGCGACCTACTGTGTTAGGTCGTTGTGAACAGAGGAGAGGATCATAATGAGAGCTTTGGTGTCATCAGCGTCCCATGCGTCGATTGCCTCTGATCGAGCAGCCAGAGCAGCCGCTTCCGTGTTTGCTGCGAGGGCAGCGGGTCGCGACTTCTTCTTGGAGATGATCGGCCATAGGCCAGCGTACTGGAAGGCGACGGTCCAGGCGGAGCGGTACTCTGGGAAGTTGTTGCCGCGTGCATTGAGCTTCGGCAGCGACGCAGGGTCAAGCTTGAACAAGAATGTCGATATGGTGATGGGGAGCCGTCAACGACGTTGACAAGTGACTCGTCAGCAGGGTAATCGCCAGCGGTGATAGATGCTGTCGAAAGTGCTTTTGAGCGACTGTCACAGCGGCTGAAAGCGGAGATCCCAGAGCCAGTGGTGGATGAGGCAGCTGAGAGCAGCCGTCGACTGTTGACTGCAGCGGTGGTGGCAGCAGGCAGTGACGGGTAGCTAAGGGCAGCGGTGCAGTGGAATCGCCAGTGGCGGTAAGCGTGGCGATGCTTGCAGCTGTGGGTGTAGAGCGTAAAGCAACGCTCAGTAGGGCAGGCAGTGGAGCGCCGGGCTCATAACCTGATAAAAGGTATGAAGTTGAGTGTGTTGTATTGCTCAGGCGGGAAAACCTGCCTATATAGAGTTAGGCTAGTCGGTTGCACCTGCCAGGTGCCTGCGGAGTCTCCTTCCGTCAACAAGAGCGACGCGGCAAGACTTGCATGTGAGGAAGAAGTGTGGCTCTGCAATATAGTCGATCAATTGCTCTAGTCGTGTAGCTCGAAGACGCTGTGAGTACTACTTTACTCTTGCGAAGGTGAAGACATTTTCTGTGTAGGATGTGAGATGTAGGTGCGCAGATTGTTTGATTCCGGGCCTTAGGGGATAAGCCCCCTGTCGATCTAAAGCACGGACTACAAAATGGGGATTAAGGTTGATCCCTCATGGAATAACTGTCAGACTACGTGCTATAAAATACCCAGGGCAATCGGGCTAGCGCGAATATTCCATCCCTAACAAATGCGACTCAGTACTGACTCCAGTTGCCGCCCTGGGATAGAAGATCGTCTTGTCCTCAGACCAGAAAGCGCTCCCCGAGTTGCCCGAATTCAACGCGATGTACTTGCCGTATGCCAGTAGACTGAGCAGCTGGCTCATCGGGCTGTACGAACCGTCGGCTAGAAAGTTTCCCCGCATCTCCAGAAAGCGTTCCCACTCCGCTATGCCTTGCTGCTCCCGATGCGCTGACGGAAGTAGATACTCGACGCCAATCACACGCACGCAGTACACCACGCCAGCAATCATGTACGCGTAGTTTTTAGCAGTGCGCAAGCAGCCCATCTCTGTATCGAACCCCAGCACTGCCATGAAGTGTACCAGCCTGCTCTCGAACGGACTGCAGACGTACGGCTCGAAAATAAACGCGGCGAGCAGCTGAAGTAGCGTACTAGCCTGGCCGTCCTCATTACTATCGTCCAACATCTACCAGAACATCCGCGCTAGCCCTTTCTGGCGGGCGCACCATGGGAAGAGTTCCCACGCGTCTTTCATATAGTCGATTCTAGCGGTTCAACGTTGCCTACAAGTACCCTCATCCCCACTGTCACCATACTCGCTACCGCTATTGTCCTTACTGTCCTCGCTTTCTTCGCTCTCCTCTTCGCTATCTTCATCACTATTGCCAGCCTCTTCATCTGCAATGATGCGCAAAACATAGCACACGAACATAACTATCTATCCAGCATAGCGGGCCTGGCTCTCAGTCGTGCAAACGGACGCTAGTTAATCTCGTTAGCCTACACACTATCTAACCATCACCTAGTCTCGCGCGGCAGTAATAATAACCCACAAATACTTCTCTCCACTAGCTTCTCTACGACCTGCGCCACCTACTATAGTTTTAGCTTATTACGACGTGGTAGCCTAATTGCGTGCGCTAGATACTTATAGTTATAGTTTATAAAATGCTCTAGCCACTCTATAAACTTCTACTAGCTAGTCTAGTCTATCTTTACAACTTTAGTATCTATAACCTATCCTTATCACTCTCTCTTCTCCTATATTCTAGTATATTCTTTTAGTATCGTATCTACTACCTCTCTATCTCCCCTAGATCTCGCGTCGCAGCTGGCTGGCTTAGGTATAGTAACTATGAAATACCACTACCGCCCCAAAGATGGAAAGAAAGACTATACCTTAACATATTAATAGTATATATCTAAGCTAGTCTTAAATAGTAGTCTATATACCTTATTATAATATGCTTACATTATAACCTTATATTGTGTAATATGGCTACATTCTAACTACTAGTACTATAGCCTATCTAGTAGCTCTCCTAGTACCTCTATTAGTAGTCCGCCTAGTGCTAGGAGCTCCTCATCTAGCTTATAAGTTAGTAAGTATATATAGCTTACGATTAATCTTCTTCTTTTACTTACTAGTACGTTATACTTTTATAATAGATATATATTAAGATTCTATATACTAGCATTATACTCTTAATAGTAGAAAACGTGGTACTTATAGTTATATATAATATATAAGCGTATATAAGCCTATACCGAGCCATTTATCTATCCTTCCTAGTCATATTATATACGTTCTACTTATGGCGCTATTAGGTATTCCTATGCTACTATGGCTATGTTATCTAACGTTGGCGCTTAAGCGTTCTAGCAGAACTCTATTACGA